GGAATTTAAAGGATTCTTTATAATAATACAAACAGAGAAGCCTTGACTGTGCTCCTGTAATTGGTGCAGTAGCTGCTTTTTTTTTTCACTAATCATTCTGAAGAGTTGTAATCGGACAGTTGGCTGTAATCGGACACCTGTAATCGGGCAGTTGAAGCAGCCAACCATAGTCCTTTCAGTCAAATCGACCAATCACAGAATTGATCACAATAACCATAGCAACAACCACTTATCCTAAAAAAAAGTCGTGGAAGTTGAGGAATTTTTTACTGAGACATTGTCTCTACTGCACATATTTGTCCTAAATGTATTTGTTATTTTCGGAAATTGTAACAGATATGATTTGTTGGTGAAAGGACTTCGTGTCGTCCAATTCTGTCTGTAATCATACTCATGATTGACAAATCGGACTCCCGCTTCGCGGTCGTCCGATTTTGTTAATCACTCTTACGATTACAGACCGAATTGGACTCCGCTCCGTCATATTACCATTATATATCGCGCGATAAAATTTAATTTAAAAAGTGGTAGCGTCCACCGTACAAATCTCTAGTACCCATTCCTTCTCGTATCTTAGCAACCTGCGACAAGACTCGACAAGACAGATTAATACTAATTTGGTTAAAATATGGAAATAATCGAGTCATATTCAAACGTAATGAAACTAGTTTTTCTTAGTGTTTTCAAACTTAAGTTAAGTTGACAACAACTCTGGATAATCAGTGGGTAGCTGCATATTTTTAACTTCAAAGCTTGGCGAGAAAGTTGCAGCTGGTTGGATTCCATCACACTGTGACCGCATTGCAGAATGTGTTCTTGACAATGGCGACATGTGAATGTTTGTACCACACTACAATGAATACAAGTCTACAATGGCTCTGTGGAGTAAACAGTTGTCCATAAGGAATTTCTTGTCGACCAAGAACTATCAAGGAATATTCGAGAGGTTTATTTGCCGATGTGGAGGAATTTTTGTTAATTTTGATTCAATCGTGACAGCAAGCTTTCCGCTTTTGCATGAGTTTCTTTGAAGGCATTTCACTACAAAACAATATCGCGTTGTATATGTTGCAGTGAAGTTATTTCGGCTTGTCTAAGATGTTTATATGATGTTCAGTGAACTGACAGAAAAGCATTTCGCATAGTGATGGACCTCTCTTTGAAAACACAACACAACATGCTATTAAATTGCAAAAGTCCCTGAACTTTTAAAATATAAAATGGATCGATCTACAAAGCTGGAGAACAAAGAGGAGGAGCTAGCAGT